AATACATCCATACCTGATATTTTGCATTTTGATGTGGCGAAGAATAACATTTTACATTAGCAACAATATTACTTCCCCTGTAACTGTGTTGTATGTCCTTAACTCTATATACAACATGCACTACTACAGATGATAAATTCATAAATTGATCAGATGGTTAACTTATAATATGATTAGAAGAAAACAATGCCAGTATGCTAAAAGTTAATAATAAGGAATAAACAGTGAAAAACTTCAAACCCACCTTTGTCTAGTCTGATCTCATTGTTCCGTTGATTGATAGCGTTTGATTTTGTCAGGTTCTATGAACTTCTCCTTTTTGAGTTTGCCTTGGAGCTCTGTATATTTGTTATACTTTTTTATGCTACAAAACAGTAAAAAAAATTATAAATGCTTGAACTCATTTATCCGATATTAAAATCACGAAGATTAAAAACCGTGTCTATTACCAAAGAGAATGCAATTCGAAACATAAACTAAAATTAAATTTGACACACCAGCGTCGTCGTTCGTTATCGTTTTTCCGTATTGTGTCCAAATAGTAAAACAACCGAAATTTTGAATATTGATTTTTACAATGAGAACCAGGTCATTTCTTCAAAATAAGTATAAATATAAGTTTAAAAGTCTTCTAAACATTAAGAAAACCGGTGTTATGTTATTTTTGTTTCATTTTTGTATTGTGGTAAACTTGAAGTTTTCGTCTCTTATTCATATCTATTGTAATTGAGAAGTAACACAGTGCAAAAAAAATAAAAAATCACCAGACGTATAATATTATACGCCACACGAGTGTTTATTTACCATCCATAGATTGGAGACACTATCGGTTCATCAGGGAGTATCAGTAGCTTTACTTTTATTTAATAACTACCACTAGAGGAGTGAAAATAACAGTTCGTCTAGGAACATCAATATTTCACGTAAACTTCCTTACACTAGATCGGCAACACTGTAAGTCCTTGAGGGAACAATCATTCTAGTAGGCTCAACTTTTTTCGGGCTTATCTGAAAACAGCTTTGTTTTTCAAGGAGAAGGTATATTCCGACCCTTTGTATGGCCCATGGAATTCGGAGGCACAACGTAGAATTGTCCTTTATATATGAGTCAAACAGACATCACCATTCATATTTTGTTTTATTTTGTCCTACATATTTGCATTAGGGCTTCAAACTCCTTGTATTTAATGGAAACCCGACAGAAACTGCTTACCTCCGGTCTGTGTTTTTGTAAGAAGTATTTCTGCTTGTATCGATCTGATGAGTTAAGCCCTTTTCAACTGATTTTATAGTTTCTTCTTATGTTGTACTGTTACGCCACTGGCCCAAATTAGGGGAGGGTTGACGTCTTTAAACTAGTTTAACCTCACCACATTCTATATGTTCCAGTCTCAAATCAGGAGTCTGTACTTCAGTGGTTGTCGGTTGTTACTGTATATCATATTTGTTTTTCGTTTATTATCTTGTACATAAATCAGGTCGTTAATTTTCTCGTTTGAATTGTTTTGAATTTGTCATTTCGGGGCCTTTTATAGCTGACTATACGGTATGGGTTTTGCCAATTGTTGAAGGCCGTATGGTGACCTATAGTTCTTAACTTCTATGTCATTTGGTCTCTGGTGGAGAGTTGTCTCATTGGCAATTTTACCACATCTTTTTTTTTATTTATACTCAGCCTTGTTTTAAAAACTTGTCTTTAATACTGTGATATAGATTAAGCCTTTAATCAAAAAGATGTTCTTGTATTTTACAAAGAAGTTAATGTGCGTAAAATGTCTTTTTGGGTGAGGCCTTTCTTCATATCTTTATTGTCTTCCACTATCTGTAAAAACTCATCAAAGATACCAGCCTTTGGTACAACAAACGTATTGTGTGAAAAAACGACATTTAATGTACATTGTATGGAAATGATTTGATCGTGCCGCCAATTCTTTGTGATGAAAGGTAGGTCTTAGTAACAACACACGATCTCGGAAAAGTGACGTCATTACACACATTTTTGCCTTATCATAATCGTTTTTAATATTAGTTTTACACCAAATATGACAATTTTCCTCCTAACTGGTATGTGTGATATAGCACTTTATTGTTCTCTTTTACAATTTGAGTTTAAAGAGTTGCATGACCATCTTCGAACGGAGCTTGTTTATGCTATTCATGGCCACCGTCATGTTACATCAAATTTATGAAAACTTGGAAGCCTTTTCGAACAATTTTCAACAAAATATTTCACTGTGTTTCAAAATTTATATTGTTAATTTACACACTGCAGTTATTCATAAATAAATGAAAAAAACATATAATATACTTACATCCAGTCACAGCGCTCCAAATTTGACTTTCTACACCTGCCTTGGATACACAAAAGGCCAACCTAAAGCCGGGAAGATGTAATGCTGCTTTTTTCCCATACTGTGACATAAAGATATAAATAAGTCTTATGATACCATCAATGCAATGCTGAGTTATTGTGAAACTATTTACTATAAGGAATACTGTCCACATTATTTATAGAAACATGGATCACTTTATGTCCCTATCCCTACATGCTGGTGAACCTCCTTCTGTATTGCTTTAAGATAAGGCATGATACACTACCTGTATCTAATCACACTTTCCCCCTATCCTCTATCTCCTGAACATGCTGAATTCAAATCAAAATAATCCGGGAGATATGCTTCTGATGGATGAGCTAATTTGACAAACTTTTCGTGACAACCATGAATTATTTTCCGAATATTTTCCACAATTAATCATTGGTACTGCGTGCAAACTTTCCTACTAAATACAGTTTTGTAGTTCTGTTCGATTCCTTTTGCTTTTCGATCGCTTGCGTCATGTACCCTTTTTCTAATTGTTGTCAATATAATGGAATTCTATGCGACTGTTATACAAGTAAGAGGTTTAGCTAGCTATAAAACCAGGTTTATTCCACCATTTTATACATTAGGAATTGTATGTACCATGTCAGGAATATGACAGTTGTTTTCTATTCGTTTGATGTGTTTGAGCTTTTGATTTTGTCTGTGGTTAAGAATAAGTCAGATTATTTCATAATTTTCTTACTTTTAAGTGTCTTTAAATATCTACCATACAATATGGACTAAACGTTAAACTCTTTTTAAAGTGTTTTGTTAACTTGATTTGTCTCCGTAATCTATTATAAGATTTAAAAACCGGTCAAAGACTGTTACTTACATTTAATTATTTTTTTTTAATAACCAACGTCAAATGTATTTCATATTTTGTTATCGTTATATCGTCATCACTGCTAAAACTTGCGGATATTCAGTTGTTGTTCTGATTTAAAACTATATTTATATATTTAGATATTTGATTAATTCTTATGTCATTTACAGACCACAAAGTATAATCTTGTCAAAATTGTACGTGCTTACGTGGCTCCACGAATGTTACAATTTCACATAATAACGTGCTTCCACACATGTTAAATTTGCACGTGATTATGTGCCTCAACACATGTTAAAGTTGCACATGATTATGAGCCTCCACGCATGTTACAATCGTACGTGTTTGTGTGCCTCCACACATGTTAATGTAGCTTGGATGTCTAAATGTTCGACGATAGATTTTTCTTAAACTGCTGTTCAAGACTTCTGGGTCAATGCACTTTGAGATTTTCATATAAAAACTGGGGGTCACGGACCTTTGATTTTTCGTTAAAATACATTGAAATTGACGAAATCACAATTATTTTATACTGATTATATAGGGGAAACATTATTATTCTTCATTTCGGAGACATTATACTATAAAATTCGTTAATTTTACTGAGAGAATTGCTTTTCATAAATATATCCTAAATATCAAATAAAAATAAGGGGTCTTGAAACGTTTAAAAAACACCAATTGGCCTTTCAAATTCAATATTATTATCTGTCTTTGATTTTAAAAAGGATTTTTTCTGAAATTTTTAAAAAACTTAATGGCACTTAGTTGTTTATTCTCTTTGAATTTCTAGTTTTAGATGTTTCAGTTGTATATTGAATGATACTTGGTATAATATTTTAAATAACCAAAAGTACTATTGCAACATGACCAGAATGAATGCTCAGAAAAAGACACCCGATCTACCTTATACTTACACGTGTTTATGTTTATGTGAAGACTACACAGTTCCCAATTTTATACATTGTTAAAGTGAACATCCTGAATGACAAATGACAAGTAAAAATGTGGTTATGATAAAATAAGACATGTCTTGTAGCTGCAATCAAAATAAATTATTCAAGATCATCTATAATTAATAATGGGCGGAAAAGTCAAAGTGGCGTCCATAAATCTTTTCAAACTAGTCAAAGCCATAATTTCATGAATTTGGTCGAAATAAACCTTAACATGGTTAACTAGACAAACGATATTTGCTTCGAATTAATATGATTTTGGAGGTTCATTATATACACATTAATATACATGTTTGACAAATGCCCGGATATTGTTATAATTTTATCTGTTGACAAATGAGGTAAAACAATTAGGAGATACGAGGGATGGCACAATTGACCGTGGTATAATATGTTCAGTAACACGTTAAAATGTACGAGGGTCTGAAAGGGGGTCCCTCATTTCTTTTTTCTATAATTTGTAGAACAGTTTTTGCTATTCTATATTCACTTTTCAAATATTTCTCTTTTCTCGATAATTTAACACCACAGTATTCTCTATTCGTTTTTATTTTTGGCCGTAATTGTGCTCTTTTTGCTTTTTATTCTCTATTCTGTATGGCCCATTAAGACCCTTATGCATACATCTATGTAGAAAAACAGCTATAAGTAAAACAAACAATTCATGTGACGCATTTAGTTATTATACATTTATGGTGTTTTTTTGTGACTTAAATTATTTCTATACATTTTACATTGTGAAGATAAATGTTGACTACACTACAATTCACGACATTAATTAATAATCTAGTTGACAAGTACATTTTATTGCATTTCCTACGTATATCTTATTTTGTAAAGTATTTAAATCGGTGAATGTAAGAATTTTCTTCGTAATTAAAGAGGGATTGTTTGTGATTTTTTTTCCGTTTTATATCGAATTTGAAATTGAAGAGGTATGTTTTGTTATTTCGTACTAACCGATACAATTTTTATTATTTTTTGATACTTTTGACACAGACAACATTTTTCTTACCTGAATTTCTCCATAATATTAAGTTATCAAACGTTCTTTATGTCTGTCTATTTTCAGAAAGTAATGAAACGGCTACTGTTTCTTTCGTTGTTATTTGCGACCACGTATATTCTTACTGTTCACGGCCAAGGCGGAAATCCTGGTGCCCCGCCTGGAGGTCCCGGCGCACCAGGTGCTGGTGTCACAGATGGTGGTGGTGAATCATGCTACTGCTGTTGTGATCCATCTTCAACTGAACCATCGTGCTGTTATCCAGATTGTTGTTTGTAAGGTATATTAAGATATATTAAGTAGAAAGTATGAACTAAATTAAGTCTCTGCAATATCAAATAACAAATATTGTTAAATATTCGATACTTTCAATCGTATGATTAATAAAGTCTATTATGCGGTTATGTATGAGGTCGTTTAGACACATTGATCATTTCAAAGTTAAAACATTTGACTAAACAAGGGTAATTTTACTCATAGATTTCGTAAAAGACAGTTTGAACCAATATCGTTTTTGGACACGGCTGTTGTTTACATCTAAATATCAATGACAAGTTTTCCAAAATGAAAACATTATTATATCATATTGAAATATTTAACTATTATACATTGTGACCCCCCCCCCCCCCCCCCCCCCGAAAAAAAAGGTTAGCTAAGATTTTCCGGAAGGGATTTCAGAAGGCAGTTCCTATTTCGTATGTGGCAGGCCTTGTTCTATTCATGCAAGAACAAATCCGGTGAAAGTCCCAATCAAGGAAAAGAGAACGGGATTGTGGTTACGACAGATCCATCGTCATCTGTGACACAGATATTTCATAGCGGTCAACCAAGTCGTGATGGTGTCCGTAAAAGAGAGTCAAAGGATACCAAAGGGACATTCAAACTCATAAGTCAAAAATAAATAGACAACGCCATGGCTAAAAAAAAAGACAAACAGACAAACGACAGTACACAACACAGTATAGAAAACCATAGACTGAGCGACACGAACCCCACCAAAAACTGAGGGTGATCTCAGGTGCTCCGGAAGGGATGTAGATCCTGCTCCTCATGTGGCACTCGTCATGTTGCTCATGTAAGTACAAACCCGGTGATATGTCAAATTTGGTAGGTAAGAATTTCTAAGGTATGACTTCAACTACACCTCTTGGAACCTTAAGTTCAATAGCTCCCTTAAAAGCAGCAACCCCTATCAAGGAAATCATGATAAGAAACAACCCTCTGAAATATTGTATCAACCGGGAGATATATACTCCATATGCAAGGGCTGATGGAGTTTTCTACATAGAAATGGACAGTTTACAATTGGGAAGATAGGATCATCACTAAAGTCTTGTTCTTAAATAACGATCATTATTAAGATCAAAATCAAAGTCAAGATTTTAGGCCGACTCATCAAAATTATAAGTCTGGTATCTGTGATGGGATTGTTTTAACTGGATCGTTTGATTCAAGTTCTATGGAATATATTCGTTGCATATGCTCACGAAACTTGGAACTATCTAATAAAAGGACATCTCTATAGCGGAACGTGATGTTAAAGGATAATGCTACCTTCTACCAATCGACATAAGAAGCTCCTCTATGAAGTATGTCTCATGTGAATAAGAGAAGAAGTTGGCAATAAAGTGCACAACTAGTTCTCATAGAAAAACACGTCCTTCAAACGTAGCAAATATGTTGTCGATTAAAACATGAAGCAGCTTGTTGACGTCCGTTTCAGAGATTTTTTCATAGATTGTTTACAAAGTATGATTTATCCTTTTCCTGCAAAGCAAGAGCTGACGAAACAAACTTTAAATTTGTTCTTTCAATCTGACTTAACTTTTATGTCATTTTGTCTCTGGTGGGTAGTTGTCTCATTGACAATCATACCGCATCTTCATTTTGTTACATTAAAGTAAAGAATGGGGTAAACGAGTGTAAGGGGTAGAGAAGTACAATGTTTTAAATTTCATACTAGTGCAAAAAGATAGACAATTATATTGAATGTAATCTATATATAAATAAGAAGATATGGTATGAGTGCCACAATGTGTATACAAGTAAATAATTATAGGTCAAAGTTATAGTAACTTGGCTCACACCGAACAGCAAGCTATAAAGGGCCCCAAAAAGACTAGTGTAAAACAATTCAAACAGAAAACCAACCGTCTAATCTATATACAAACGAGAAACACTTATGAACCACACCAACAAACGACAACCACTGAACAGCAGGTTCCCGACTTAAGACAGGTGCATAAAAATTCAGCGGGTTTAAACGTTTTAACAGGTGCCAACCTTCACCCTAACCTGAAACAGTGGTATAACATTACAACATAAAAAGACACACAATAAAATATCAATTGAAATGGCTTAACTCGATCAAAAAGACAATACACAAAAACAAGTAAATATAAACTGAACGAATAAGTTTGATCTATGACACAATATAAATAAAAAAGATGTTTCAGTGTCAAATGTAAATATAATAATGTTGTTTGTTAGGAGTACAGAAACATTATTTACAAAATAAATTTGTTATTAATAGTACGAGTACAGAAGTGAAATTTTTTTCGTCATACTAAATATTTATCAAAGGTGGTACATATTAAAAATAGTAAGACCGGATATAACACAAAATAAGTAAACTTTGAATAACAAAAAGGCATTACAAATTGTGTCAACAGGTCAATTACCAATTTTCGAGGATTCTGTTGGTATAGGTAAACCACGATTTAAATGTTCAACAAAGTACATATTTCCTTTAGTTTGTATGAGGCTTTGGCAACAACCACGAAATAAAATATCCACCAAAATACGTTATCCTATCAATCAATGAAAATTTGTATCCATGATAATAACGGAATTCACAGTATTTAACTTTGGTATCCAGTACAGTGAAAGAAGATTATGTTTGGTTGCAATTCCAAAGGAATATAGAACAGACAAACGATTGTTCAGAATTTCGTCTTCGATACGATTCATGGGCCTAAATGTTGAGTTTCTAAGGTAATTACGAAATAAGTAGGGTTTTATTTCGGTGGCATGTTTTTATTCAATATTTGTTATAAAATGATGTACCTGTGGTAAGCTTAAAAGAGACGCAGCCAACATCAGATTAATTAAAGCTTGATGTTGAAGTGCATATATACACAGTGCATATTTTTATAATGTACACACACTAAATGAATTTGCGAAAAAAAAATTAAAAAAACCAAAGACATCTTGTTTGAAATATTTAGATTGAATTAGCCGGATAAGCCTTGATCCTTACATGCAGAATTTCACAAAAGAATATCAAAGTTAGACATTTAAAAAAACTAAAATCCTGATAACATACACATTATAGCCTTATAATATATACAAACATCTAGCAAACTTTAACAGATAATCAGACAATATCCTATGTAAGACGAACATATATTAATAAAACAATATATCCCCAACTTTATGTCACTGGAAGAAAAAACAAAATAAAACAAAATTTGAATATCGTTACTGCTGTCAGAGATGTTAAAGTCGTTTTGATAAGACAGATCAAGACTGTTTTAATAAGTTAACATATGATACAAGTTTATTGGACTACTGGATGCATTATCAATGTAATTAGTTATATTCAACAGAAATTTAAACTTGTGAGTAGAATAACTTTTGAAATGTCTACTTTTTCTTGCAGATAATAGATATGTTACCAAGCCATGGACAAACATAGATGAATGCAAAATCAATGTATTGGTATCGACGTTGAAAGCAGAAAAGTTTATTCTAATGTAAAAATAATATTTATTGGAACTCGTGTAATAAAAGAGGGATATTTGTTGAATCGTGTTTATAATGAAACTCTTCAGTTACACCGACAGCTTAATACTTTTTAATATAGAAATAAGAAGATGTGGTAAGATTGCCAATGAGGCATCTTACCACCACAGATCAAATGGTGTAAAATTTAGCAACTATATTTCACCGTACGGCCTTCAAAACTGACAAAAAAACCTTACCGCATAGTAACATATAAAAGGCTCCGAAATGGGAAACAAATTTAAAACAAGAAAACAATCAGACTGATTTATTTGTCTTATTGATATACAAGATAACTTTTAAGTCGAAAACAAACTGACATTGCTATGGCAAATAACGAAAAACAACAAAAAAACAAACAACAGTACACAGTACACAAAACAAAACATAGAGAACAAAATACTGAACAATACGAACTCAACCTAAACCAGGGGTGACCTCGTCTGTTTAAAAAGAAGGAAAACAGCTAAATATATTCACAATTTTACATTTATCATTGCAGTAATCTTTAACTTGTAGATATGTATCTGATCTTTCCTTTCAAAGATGCGATACGCGAGATATCCTTTAAAATAGTATTAGGCCTAATTCTATTTCGAAAAGTCATAAAAAATAACCCTTTTGCAGATCAAAAGCTTTAAATGAAATGTCCCGAGTATTCATCTTTTTATAATGGTTTATGATAAACTTTGCTATCATATAATATATTGATTAACTTGCAAAGTATTTTCTGTAATAGCCTTTTTATACATCAAATAGAAAGACAGTAACCCAACATTCTAATTATTTAAAAAAAAAATCCCGTTGATGTATTCCCATATCTTCTTTTATGCAGAGTATTTGCATTTGAAATCAAATGGACAATACAGAATTGATAACGACATTTTAGAGTAGTTTGCTTATTTGAATTAAAATGAAAGTAAAAGAATGACTTCCACTAAGAGCCCAAATATTTGATTGTGACAAATTTTTCAAATATATTCGAAAAAAGTAAAAACCAAAAATACCGAATTCAAGGATAATTCAAAACGGAAAGCTCCTTATCAAATGGCAAAACCAAAAGCTCAAACACATCAAACAAATGGAAAATAACTGTCAGAATTCTAATTTGGTACAGGCATTTTGTTTTGTAGAAAATGGTGGATTAAAGCCAGTGTTATAGTTAGCTAAACCTCTCACGTGTATCTGACAGTCGCATAAAATTCCCTCATATTGAACAAAAAACAGACATAATAGGTAAACATGTCAAAAATTGGGGTACAGCAGTAAACATTGTGTTAAAATCTTAATCACTATGAAAACAAAAAACTATAAAATTGAGAATGGAAATGGGGAATATGTCAAAGAGACAACAACCCGACCAAAGAGCAGACAACAGCCGAAGGCCACCAATGGGTCTTCAACGCAGCGAGAAAAATCCCGCACCCGGTGGTCCTCAGCTGGCTCCTAAATAAAATTGTGTACTAGTTCAGTGAAAATGGACGTCACACTAAACTCCAAAACATGTAAATGAACTAAAATTAAAAACCATACAGACTAACAAAGGCCAGAGGCTCCTGACTTGGGACAGGCGCAAAAATGCGGCGGGGTTTAACATGCTTTGTGAGATCTCAACCCTCCCCCTATACCTCTAGCCAATGTAGAATAAAGAAACACATAGCTATACGCACAGTAAAAATTCAGTTTAAAAGAAGTCCGAGTCCGATATCAGAACAGGTAACAAAAGAAACTAAGCAAAATGGCAATGATACATAAATGAACAAAGGACTACTAGCAGTTACTGACATGCCAGCTCCAGACCTCAATTAAACTGATTGAAAGATTATGTCTTCATCATATGAAAATCAAGTACAATCCCTCCCGTTAGGGGTTTAGTATCATACCATCATAAAATATATTAGAAGAACATAACCTGTATCATGCCAACAACAGGTTTTAGAATAAATGTGTTTATTTCCGATGCAAAGACCCTATGAGTGAATCAATATTAACACCAAAATATGCAATCCTTAATGACTTGGCAACAGTATCGTAACTATATCCTTTCCGAATAAGTCTGTTTAAAGGTTTGGTTAGCTTTTGAGGTGAATGCCGACATTTTTGTGCTTTGTAAAGAATATTACCATAAAATATTGGATGTGAAATACCTGAACGTATAAGATGTCTGCATGTTGATTTATATTTACGAATGATGTCCTTGTACCGATTATAAAATTTAGTAAATGTTCTGACTAGTTTGTGATATCAAAAACCCTGGTGTAATAATTTTTCAGTAATACAGAGATTTCTTTCGTTGAAATCAAATACGTTGTTACATACACGAGCGAATCGAACAAGTTGAGATATATAAACACGATAAGAGGGCGACAAGGGAACGTCACCATCTTAAAATTGATAATGAACAATAGGAAATGAAAAATCATAAATTTTGGTAATAAGCTTCCAATTTTGGTATTAAGTATTATGTCAACAAATAAAAAAAAGGCATATAAACACTATATAGATAAAACACATGATGAGCAAAAATGAAAGACAAGAATAAAAAAATGACCATGGCACAATAACACAATGGCGAGATGTATAAATACCGATCTTATGAAAAGGTATACGTTATTAAATAAAGACAAATACGTATTTGAGCGGAAAAATAAATAAAGATGTGCGGTGACTTATACATGCTAACGTCTACATCATTCGGTCTCTGATGGAAATTTGTATCATTGGCAATCATTCACATCTTCTATTTTTATATGTAAAAAAAACTTACTTCAGCCACTTTTGTTCTCTAGGCATTGACAGGATATCACATTAATCCCTATTGTATAAATCATTGTGTATAAACCCGTTATATTTATTCAAAGCGCAACTGGTATGCACGTCGGGCGAATGAAATTATAAGCCTGAAATTTTAGGATTGTTTTTTATTAAAGGATTCGTTATAAGGAAACGAAACTAAGAAAAAGATTGAACGTGTTGGCATATTTATACATCTGTTTATTAGTTAGTAGATGTTTTTTCACCATCTTTTTTGTGTTTTTTTCCCTCTCACTATTAAAACACAAAAAAGATAGTAACAAGGTAGGGCATCTACTTACTAATAAACAGATATATAATATATATGTCTGCAACTAATTCTTTTTGAAGAGAAATTGATAGCTAAAAGAAAGATAATGACTCAGAAAGCGAGCAAAAAGTCTTGCATTAGCGCCAGTAGCTATGTTGTTGTACCGGTTGGACGATATCTCTTTTTTTTTCTGTAAGAATTGGATTAACATTTTCAACATCAGAAATTTCTTTTCTCTCACCATTAGTGACAATTCCCGTATATCAGCGGCAAGGCTATCATGTTGAATTATAACTTGAGAAGTCATGCTTAAGTTGACTTGATAACTTTCGACATTAACATTTAGGACATTTAGTTGATAGTTTTTATAAATAAAGTACTGTGACTCTGAACAGAAGATTGAATTGTGTTATAACGAACAATGTTTGGAAAAACTATGGAACGCTTAAATACCACTTATTGTTCATTGTATATCAAAGCTTTGGACAATCGGAGTCGAATTGTTAATTCTAAAGTGCAATGTTTATATTTACGGAAGACGCATAGGGTTTATTTGATTTGAATTATATTTTGTATTTGACTTTTGTTTTAGAACTGTAGGACTTAGTGTTTGTATTTTTGTTTGTTTGTAGGTTGAGACGATAGAGATAAACAGTTGCAACCTGATAATTAGTTATATACTTAACTTATACAGTTGTGTTATTAAGTCTTTTCACTTTTCTGTGGAAAGACATTTTGATTTTGTTCTGGTTTATAGGTCTTTTCACTTTACCGTTGAAAGACCTATTGATTTTGTTCTAATCTACAAGTGTGGACATAGATCAGTGTGGATAGTATGTTTGGATGTTTGACAGTGTTTTATATGACAAAAGAAGTTCTATGTTTTCCCAAAAGGGTTCTATATTGTTAACAACTGTGTTGCACAATGACAACCAACCTGAGCATTAGGGGTGTTGTTTATTTGATATTTAGTTTTTATGTTCAAGACGGGCATGGACGAGACACTAGTTGGATTAATTACCAAATGATGATGATAAAATATGTTTTTGGATACATTTTGTAGCTAGGAGAGGAACACGTAATAGGTTCATTTTTTCATGATGTGATTTTTTTTTATACGGGAGATGGTATCTGAAAACATGTATTTGCTTACTATTTGTATGGTTCCATTTATATTACTTTGTGGTGAATCGTCAGTATCATGAGTAAAAGATTCTGTTTAAATGTCGAAATTGTTTCTCAGATTAGAAGATATTTAATGGTTTTTAGTAATGACAATGCCTGACATGATGATTGGAGCTAGATGAGCTAGAAAGTAAACCTCTGTGTTATTTTTTATTAATTCTTTGAAAATATCTCCTCCAAAGCTGGTCAAAGCAAAAAAAAGTTTTGACCAGTATGAAAATGATATCAACAAAAGAACCTTTGTGAGTATGCTTCAAAGACTCATAACTGCTACAGAAGTCATCTGATAAAATTTAAAGTGGATATGAACATCTACTTAATATGTCTAAAGATCTAAAAAGTTGTACGTAGTATTCAATATGAAAAAGGTACTGTAAATTCAGAAATTATTGCGTACATTTATTATTGCGATTTTTGAAAAATGGACAAAAATGTGAGATTTATTATTGCGATTTCAGGAAAATCTGCATACACTTATATGTATAAGATATCAGAATGCGAGTTCTTATTATTGCGATTATCACCCAGTCGCATTATTCGCATTAATGAAAACCTCGCAATAATATCTGAATTTACAGTATTGCAAAAATATTCTCATTTCAATTTTTTTTTGTTATATGGATACAAATATAAGTGACACCAATACAGTAAGGCAGTTTTGTTGTGGTGTGAAAGTGTACTGTAGTAATTAACATTTACTGTTAATCCACACAAATTAAGAAAAAAACAAATGAATGATAAATGTTGAACATGTACAATGAAATAAAGTTTTAGAA